GAGCTCTACAGCCCTGGGAACTTGATACAGCAGTCTCATCCATCATCACAATAGATGGAGAAAAGTTTGAAGAAGTGGTTTTATTTTGCTGAGATCCACATTAATACCCATAACAATAGTAGTCAAGAAATTAAAACACATGTTTCACTAGGAAAAATCTGATGTCAAGGACCTTTCCTGAGTGCAAAAGAGCAGAGAGATCAGCTCAAAGGCCAAGCCACACCTAATCCCAGCCTTGGTATTTTCAGTTGCTTCATTTACCTCGGAAAGTTGGATCGTAGTTAGAATCACAGAACAATCTGTACCCTTGAGTTGAGGAGCTTCGGAGGAGATCTGACTGTCCCGTGGACTGTCCCGTGGGCGGCGGAGGAGATCCGACTGTCCCTGGACAGCGGAGGAGATCCGACTGTCCCGTGAGTGGCGGAAGGAACCAGCAAGTGTATCTTAGAGCAAGTGCACGCAGGGTGCTCTTTCGAGGCGAGGGTGTGGAGCTTTGTCTCACGTATTTGGGCATATTGTCAGGAGAGATAATCCTTGGAAAAGGACATCATCTGGGAAAATAGAGGTGAGACCTTGACCAACATATGCTGTCGCCATGAGCGGCCAGTGTCTTCTAGCATGGAGGAGACTGAGGGTGTGGCGGTGTCTAGGGGGCTGGGAGTCCAAGTCAACCCAGTGGCACCTCAAAACATCAAACAGATGGTAGAAAACTGAGGAGAAGGAAAATTTTTTTTACCCCATATTTATGCTTGCTGAGTCCTTCTGATATTTCAGTGTTTCTTTATGTGGTGATTGTTATGTGCTATCAAGTCACCTGAGACTCATAGCAACCCTATGTACAACAGCCCTAAACCCTGCTCTGTTCTCTGCCAACCTCATTGTCTCCAACACACTGACCCCAATTACCCCAGTCACTGAATCAATCCCTTTCATTGAAGGTCTTCCTCTTCCTGCACTGTCCCTCCACCCTCCCAAGCATGACGTCCCTCTCCAAGGACTGTTCCCTCCTTGCAACCTGTCCAGAGTATGTCAGACGAAGCTTCAGAATCCCTGCCTCCAAGGAGCAGGCTGGCTTTACCCTCTCCAGGAAGAACTTGTTCATTCTCCTAGCAGTCCATGGTATACTCAATACTCTTCTCCAGCATCACGGCTCAAAGGCATCAACTCTCTTTTTTCCCTAGTCATTGTCCAGCTCTCTGATGCATAGCAAATTATTGCAAAGACAGATCAGGTGCACCTTAGTCTCTAGTTTCTTTTTATCTATGGAAGTTCTTTGAGTCAAGCTCGGATGGTCACAAGCACTTAGAGTGTTCCTTTATTTGAAAGTGTTTTGCTTTGCTCTTCATTCCTGAACTGTAAATTTCGGAGTTGGCAGTTGTTTTCTTTCAACACCTAAGAAGCATTGGGTCATACTACCATGGTCTCTAGTGAGACACATTGTCATGCTAATGCTATTATTTCTATAGAGATGATGTCATTTTCTTCTTAAACATACAAGTTTGAACTGCCACCCTTTTGGTGTTAACGGCATGCTTATCCATGGCACCAGAGAGCATTCTGCCAAGCTTGGGAATGATCCTTCCAATTCAGAAGACAGGTGAAAAGCGTGTGTGTGTGTGTGTGTGTGTGTGTGTGTGTGTGTGTTGTTCTGAGGGTTTAGCTGCCTCTCTCTATGTTACAATCATTTTAAAAAAAATATTGTATACTGATTGGCTTACAAATTTCGTAACATTGTTTTTCACACTAGATTATTCACATTTCCTTTATCCACCCCTCCCTACTATTATTAAAGATAAATACTTGTCTAAAAATGTTTTTTAAGATTTTCTCTTTGTCATTAGTTTTCAGAAGTCCCATCATAGTTTCTTGTACTTGGATTTCCTTTATCCTGTTTTGGGATCAGTCACCTCCTTACCTCCTTTCTGTTTTGGGAGCCCTTCTTCCTTCATTTCCTGCCGCCTGGCATCCCCTTCCCTTGATCTGCCCTCCAGTTGGCTCCTCCCACAGGTCCTAAGTCTTTGTCAGACTCTAAGGTCTCCCTGATCGCAGACTGTGCTTTCTTCCTCTAATCTGTGACTTGTCTATTGTTCAGACCCTGGGATTTCTGTTGTTCTTTTTGGCAGTTCACTTATTCCACTCTTCCTGATAATTTGTTGTTGATCCTATATATTGAGCTTTTGACTTTTGTCATTGTGTTTCTAGCTCTGAAATCTCTGAAATTTATGTTTAGTCGCTCTTTATATTCGTCACAAGAAAATCCAAGCTTCTTATCATCTTGCAGTTGGCATTTATTAATGGTCTTTTCTCATTCAGTGAATGGGTCTTAGAATAAATGAGAGATTTGAAACCAGGCTGGAATAAATGGCTTGGAACCAGGACATTTTGTTGTTATTCTCTGAGATTTGCAGTTTTATTTGACATTTAGGTTATAGCAAAGGGAGCCACCAAGTTACTGCTGGATGCAGCCTGGGACCAGGTTACCAGATACAGGCAGAAACTGGGGCTTCCCATTCAGACTCAGTCAGCAGTCAAGGAGAGGCTGGGAACCCCAGGTGCTCACCTGGCGTGCTGGTCCTCCAGTGGGAATAGCTGGTCTCACCAAGAGTGCTGACCCTCCTGTGTGAATACCCGGTCCCACCTGGGATGCTCACCCTCCTGTGTGAATACCCGGTCCCACCTGGGATGCTCACCCTCCTGTGTGAATACCCGGTCCCACCTGGGATGCTCACCCTCCTGTGTGAATACCCGGTCCCACCTGGGATGCTCACCCTCCTGTGTGAATGAACAGCAGCAGCGGGAAGTTCACCTCCTGGAGGTGGATATCAAGAGGCACCACATGGTCTTCCCAGTGGGCAGGGTCCCCCTTTCTGACTGCCTGCACCGCCTTCTCTGGTGCCACCCATGGGGCTTCTGGGGACCTCGGCACACACTTGTGACTATGGAAACAGCTCTCACATCTCCTCTGCTGTGAGGGGCAGGATTGATACTCAGTGGAGGAAAACATGTCGTTTCTGGTGGGTTTCATGATTTCATTCTTCAAGAAATGAGATTGGAACAAAGTTTTAGTAGGCTTTCCATTAACCACTTATATCAGTCTGTCCTTGCTTGGACAGGAAGGATTGTGTTTCTATGAAGCATTCGTGTCAGGCTGTCTTTACATGGACGGAAGGATCTTGTTTTTAAGTTGGCAGCAGAGCTGCACTGTCCACTGTCCAGATTAATGGTGCATCATAGAATTAGTGTTTTACAGAAATAATTTTATTATTTATAGGGACAGTATATTAAAATATACTTTAAAATGCTCATAATTTTAACAGTTCTCTCATATGCACCTTACATCGTGTTTTCTTTACAATTAAGTTCCAGAAAACAAAATCATATATATCTTAAAATCAAAAATATTTTTTTTAAATTGAAATCATTATTATCTAAGATGATTCATATATCTGGGATTTTTTAAATGAAAAACTGTTTTCATTAAACGATGAAATATTTATTAAAGTGTGCTCTGTGCACGGCGTTCTGCCGAGAGATGATGATGAGAAAGGCATGCGGCTCCCACCGTAACCGAACCGGCCCTGAAAGGTCCTTCTGAACCAAAACTAAAACAAGAAATGAGGCAGACCTTTGATGAAATCGTTCTTATGCTTTTTAAATAAATAAACTAAGGAAAGTAAGGTAGTATTCAAGAAAATAAAATTCTAAAGCATTGGCATTTCTCATTCATTTCTATTGAAATTAAATTGATAACAAATGATGTCATAGAATAATGAAAGGGACCTGCAGGGAGCCTATATCAGTGGTTTCTGAATACATGATGGTTCCGAAGGACGAAAGACGGAGCAGCCCGGTGACGGGTTGTTAAGGGTTTCATTGCTGAAAGCCGTTGAGTACCCAAGGCCACGTGCTGGGATAATAATTTACCAGGGCAATTACCACACTCTGGAATTTCTTGCAATCCTAATTCAGTATTATTAATAATGGATAAAATGGCACTTTTCTCAGGTTGCTGAGGGCAGTGGGGAATTATTTCAATGAATATTTTAACACATTATTTTAATCGTTGTTCCACCAAATTCAAGTGGGCAATTTTTCTGCTTCTTAATTCAGTCTACTAAGAGACCATGGCCATTAAATTGCAAACTATTTACAATGAGGTCTGTCCTGTGATTTATAAGCCTTGTTAAAAACAGTATGAGAGAGCGCAAACCCTGCCATTAATCCTTATAATTTGATACTGTGTTTGTTCCTAAAGGCTTGTGCCTGATGTTCACGTAGAAGGGAGATTGCGGAGAAGCCAGGCTGACTGTGGTTAGAATGCTGGTGGTTGTTGCTATGAGCTTCCAAGTGGCCCACGACTCACAGCAGCATGGCTCTGAGCCCAGCTCTATCCTGGGCCTGTCTCACTGACATCTACCCTCATTTCCCATTACGCTGTCAACCCATCTCATCCAGGGGCTTCCTCTCCTGCGCTGTCCCTCCACCCTTCCAAAAACATGATGTCCTTCTCCAAGGATCTGTCGCTCTGGGCAGCATGACCAAAGTATGTGAGATGGAGCTTCAAAATCCTTGCCTCCAAGGAGAAACTTGATTTCACCCTCTCTAGGACAGACCTGTTAGTTCTCTTGGCCTGTGGTGTAGTCATTACTCTTCTCCAGCACCACAGCTCAGTGGCATCAATTCTGCCTTCTTTGACCATTGTCCAGCTCTCTGATGCATAATGGGTAATTGTGAAATCCATGGCCTGCATCAGGTGCGCCTTAGTCTCTAGATTGACATCATTGCACTCTGGAGAGGTCCCTGATAGCAGATTTTCCTAATGCAATTCTCCTTTTGTTTTCCCTGGCACCAAGAATTGTTAACAACCTAAATCTCTTCTCTGTCTACCTAAAATAGTATAATGTAACTTTTTCTGAAAAGTTTTGCTCATCTCAGTAGGAAATATATCCCAAGTGACCTCTGGCATTGACCCCATGGCCTCTCTCCCCTGCCCCCTGCAGCCAGCTGCACGACTTCTGGCGTCTGGACTACTGGGAGGATGATCTGCGGCGGCGGAGGCGGTTTGTGCGTAATGCGTTCGGGTCCACACACGCAGAGGCCCTGCTGAAGGCAGCCATGGAATACGGTCAGTGTGCAGAGTGGCCTCGGGGCGCTGGGTGCTAGCCACTTGGGGCGGCTGGGGGCTCCAGGGTTTGCCGTGCCCTACATCTAAGTCCACAGGGTGTGGGCACTGTTTTCCTGTGCATGGCCGAGGAAGCCCTTGGACAGTCCACCGTTTCTCATCATCGGGTGCACTTTCAGACCCATCAGTTTCTCTGAACAGATTTGAAGCCTCCACACACTTAATTTTTAGCCACAAACCCTTTCACAGCCCAAAACAGGACTGAAGTCACTTTCCTGGTGTCTTTCAAACTTCAGTGAGCAAGACCCAGCGTGACAGATGAATATTACAGTGCAGTGTTGTGCTCAGAGGGTCCCTGTGGCTTAATGCGTAGGGAATCATGCTGCAAACCCAAAGGCCTCAACTCTAGTGGTTCAAAACCACCAGCTACCCTGGGGGAGAAAGGCAGGCCATCTGTTCTCTCTGCGGATTTACAGTCTTAGAAAACTCATTGGAGGATCAGTCAGCAGCGAGTGAATGCTGTTCTCAGGCTAATACGCTTACACACCCTGTGGCTGACGTGTTAACGTGTGTGCGTGATGTGTGCACCGTGTGAGATGTGTGTACTGCGTGATAGCTCTGCCTTTGTAAGCTCTGTGTGCATTATATGTGCTAGGTGTTCACCGTGTGATGGGTGTACACACTGTGTGTGTGATGTGTACTCACTGTGTGTGACATGTGTACACACTGTGTGTGTGGCGTGTGCACACTGTGTGTGAGGTGTGTACACTGTGTGAGGTGTGTTCACACTGTGAGATGTGTACACACTGTGTGAGGTGTGTACACTGTGTGTGGCGTGTGCACCATGTGACATGTGTACACACTGTGTGTGAGGTGTGTGCACACTGTGTGTGAGGTGTACACCATGTGACATGTGTATACTGTGTGAGATGTGTACACACTGTGTGTGAGGTGTGTGTACACTGTGTGTGGCGTGTGCACCATGTGACGTGTACACACTGTGTGTGAGGTGTGTGCACACTGTGTGTGAGGTGTACACCATGTGACATGTGTATACTGTGTGAAATGTGTACACACTGTGTGAGGTGTGTACACACTGTGTGTGAGGTGTGTTCACACTGTGAGATGTGTGCACACTGTGTGAGGTGTGTGGACCATGTGTACACACTGTGTTGAGATGTGTGAGCACATATGTGCGCTGTGTGTGCGTCTCCCCTCACCCGAGATACGGAGGGCCTGTTTTGACGGCACCACAGTAAGGGAATCACAGGAGGAGTCCAGGTGCCCGTGTCCACCAGTCTGTGCAGTGTGCAACAGCTTTATTGACAAGTCTGACATAGTCTGAGAATTGCCCAAATGTGACACAGATACATGAGTAAGCGGGAAAAATAATGCCAGCAGGCTGGCTCAGGGGAGGCCACTCCACACCGCCTTCTGTAAAAATGGCAACCTCGTGACCTCCCACAGCACGTTACATACAATAGGTATTGTAAAAGAAGCATGCCTGGGCCCACAAGCAAGTATCCGTGTGTGTACCTGAAACAACATTTTACTAATACCTTCATCACATGATTATAAGTTTTATAAGGAAATGTGCAAAGAGCTCGAGTTAGACAACCAAAAGGCAAGAATGCACCTACTATTTTCTGAAGCTGGAAGAATTTAAGAACAAATTCAGGCTTCGAGTTGTAATACTGAGAGATGCTATGTGCAAAATCTTGAATGACACAGAACACATTAAAAGGCAATGGAAGAAATGCTCAGATTCGCTGAGCCAGACACAGCTGGTCAACACAGACCATTTCAGGAAGTAGCATGAGAAAAAGAGTCTGTAGGATTGAAGGAAGAAATTCAAGCTGTCCTCCAGGCACTGGCAAAAAATAAGGCCCCAGGAATTGATGGAATACCATCCGAGGTGTTTCAGCCATCAAACGCAGCTCTGACACCCTGACCAGTCTGTGCCAGGAATGACTGAAGGGCCAGCAGAGCCCTTGGGCCGCCGCGTGTGAGGAGAGCAGTGACAGCCCGCTGCCCGAGCACCAAGAGTGGCCTTTCCCCCTCTTATTAACTGTGCTTTTAACAAAAGTTGACAGAAAAAGGTACATTTTGCATTCGTTCACTCATTCATTGTTGCACATTTTCCTTCCTGCACCCCCCAAGTTTTCTTCTTTTTTGGGGGGTGGGGGGAAGCATTCGTTCATTATTTGTATGACAGCAGTCCAGAATCAGAGGTGCATCGCAAAGAAGTGTGTCCTGGGGGACGTGAAAACACAGTGCTCCTCAGAGGCAGCGATGGAAACCTTTACAGACTTGGGGAGTGTTCTCAGGCAGGGGCCGTTCTCAGGAGCAAACTTCATGCTGGCGAAGGTGAAGGGTCAGATAGGGAGGAAAGACCCAGGGAAGTGGATTGACAGTAAGTGCCAAGGTGGAGGGTCAGAGAACAGAGAAAGACCCTCCGTGGGAGGATTGACACCGTAATTTACAGTGGGCTTGACCATGACCGCAGTCTGAAGGGCGCTACTGCTGAGGGCAAGGGTCAGAGATGCTGTGTCAGACGTGTACAGGGCCCCTGTGAATCCTGGTGCACTCGGTGGTGTCTAAAACATCACATGATATTGCTGTTTTAATTCTACTCTGCTCGAGTTTCTTAATTTAAAAAAATCTAGGTTTTTTTGAGTTGTTACGGATTACTTGTCAGTCTACTAACCCCAAAACTGATTGTGTGAGCCCACCGTGAGGGGAGGAGGAGGGAGTTTGCTCCTGGTAAAATTTCCCTGATGAGGCTGGAAATTGAGTGATTGACTTTTGTTCACTTAATGGTTTATTCATTGCAAATAATTTTTTTAAAAACAGAAATAGTAACTAGGTACATAGATCTCACCTGATAGACTGCACAGGAATCAGATTGACTATATCTGTGGAAGGAATTCTGGAGAAGCTCAAGATTCAGCAGTCAAAACCAGGCGAGGTGCTGATGGTGAAAGAGACCATCAGTTACTCATGTGCAAGTTCAAACTGAGGCTGAAGAACCAAAATAGGATCTGAAGTCTATTCCACCTGAATTTACAAATCACATTTAGAAGATGTGAGACACTGGAAACTAGTGATCAAAGACCTTATGAGTTGTGGGACAGTATCATTACAAAGACAGGAGAAAGAAAAAAAAAAAAACAACAACCCACATATCAGAAGAAATCAGAAGAGACCCTGAAAATTGCACCAGAGCATTAAGAAGCCAGAATGAAGGGCAGAAATGCTGAAGTAAAAGCTGAACAGAAAAAGTAAAAGGGCAGCTCAAGATGACAAAGTGCAGTATTGTAACAGAACGTGCAGAGAGATAGAGAATTAAAAGGGGAAAATGGACCAGGATATGAACAGACACTTCACCAAAGAAGGCATTCAGATGGCCAACGAGCACATGAAGAAATGTTCAAAATCCCTAGCTCTAAGAGAGATGCCAGTCAAAACAACTATGAGATATCCTCTCACCCCAGTAAGAATAGCAAAAGATAACAGAACAACAAGCAACAAATGCTGGCGAGGTTGTGGAGAAACTGGAACCCTCATCCACTGTTGGTGGGAGTGTAAAATGGTGCAACCACTGTGGAAGGCTGTATGGTACTTTCTCAAAAAGTTGCAAATAGACATACTATTTGACCCAGCAATTCCACTACTGGGAATGGAATATACTCCAAAGAGACCATAACTGCCACTCAAGTAGATATATGCACACCCATGTTTATTGTGGCTTTGTTCACAATAGCAAGGAGTTGGAAACAACCCAGGTGCCCATCAACAAACGAATGGATAGAGAAGCTATGGTATATTCACACAATGGAATACTGTGCTGCATTGAAAAACAAGGAACTCATGCAACATTATTCAAAATGGGTGACCCTGGAGGACATTAGGTTAAGTGAAATATCTCAGTCACAAAAGGACAAATACTGCATGGTGCCACTGTTGTAGAATGAGGCTGACATCTGGGTGAGGATAAGACTGAGAAAAACTGGATAAATTATGTTTACTGTATTGTGGCCGATGAGGGAGAGAATAGTTTAATATATTTTAGGGCATTATGATTATCATAAGAGTTGGAATGAGGGTTGCA